AATTAGTACATAGGGTAAAATGCAGTTTTTGGCTCATATCTCTGAAACCAAAACACATCACCATCACCAAAACACAATTTTGTCATAAATCCATCTGTGTCCTTTGTTTAATATGCACATAGACCAAGGTGAGAGACACAGGCTCTTTAGAGCCTCTAGTTTATCTATTAAAATTAAAAATGTTCAATAGATTAAGATTGACATGTATATTATTTCAGGACATTTGAAATAATTTAACCCCCCCCCCCCCCCTTAATTTCTTCAATCTTCAATTTAATTTCCCCAAGAATCTCAGAAGCATTATTAATTATCTTTACCTGGAAATAAAATATCTTTCATCTTTTTATACTTTGAACAAATCTATCAGTTAATTCTGATTTGAAATTAATCCAATACTGTCAAATTAAAGGCCACTTTCTGTAGTTGATATGCTCAAATGAAAGCCATTTCATAATGCTTCAACAAAAAGTTATCTAGCAAAGAAAATTTCAAAATTATTTCTAATATACTTATCTGATAACAAATCTGCTTTATGTGACAGCTAGATTAATTCACTGCTCATCAAACATCTTCATTTGTATTTTAAGCGTCAAATCACAATTTTGCTGACGTAATTTATGACGTTTTTCTATTCCCAGTCATTCACACATTTTTCTATTCCATTTGAAATGCATTTCTGATCCAAGTCACTTAACATCTATTTTATCAGCAATCAAAGCTGGGCTCCAAAGTTATTGTGAAACTGCCTATTCTAGAGGTGGCGTGAATCAGATGTGGATACTAAAAAATTCCAAAGATCTTTTAGAGTACATACAATCTAAGACTCTCTCATCTTGCAATACTATTAAAACATTTGACTTTTCTACACTTTACACAAGTATTCCCCATTCCAAACTAAAAGACAAATTGAAAGAGTTGGTATTACTTTGTTTCATTAAAAAGAATGGCATGCGTAGATACAAGTATCTTGTCTTTGGGAGGGATAAATCCTATTTTGTCATGTTTGTAAAGAATTACTCTGATTAAAAAAAAAAATTCTCTGAAACTGACATTATCAAGATGCTTAATTTCTTGATTGACAACATATTTGTTACGTTTGGAGGACGTGTTTTTCAACAAACTGTCGGAATTCCAATGGGAACCAATTGTGCCCCTCTTCTTTCCGACTTGTTCCTTTATTATTATGAGGCTGACTTCATACAGAAACTTCTTAGGAAGAAAGATAAGAAGTTAGCAATATCCTTTAACTTTACGTTCCGCTATATAGATGATGTTCTCTCACTAAATAATACAAAATTTGGTGACTATGTTAAAAGAATCTATCCCATCGAACTAGAGATAAAGGATACTACAGATACAGTTAAGTCTGCCTCATATCTTGACTTACATCTAGAAATTGACAATGAGGGTCGGTTGAAAACAAAACTTTACGACAAAAGAGAGGATTTCAGCTTCCCAATTGTGAACTTTCCATTTCTATGTAGCAACATTCCAGCAGCGCCTGCATACGGAGTATATATCTCCCAATTGATACGATATTCCCGGGCTTGTATTTCCTATCATGATTTCCTTGATAGAGGATTGCTGCTCACAAGGAAGCTATTAAACCAAGAGTTCGAAATGGTGAAGTTGAAATCATCCCTTCGTAAATTTAGTCACTAGTTGGTTGACCGTTATATGGAATAACCGTTTCACAGATGCTATCGGATATGTTCCTTATGTCGTAACTACAATACCCTTCCCTTTTCACGAATGTGACCTACCGAATTAGACTATTTACCGGATTTGTAATAACATAAGCAACACGACGGGTGCCACATGTGGAGCAGGATCTGCTTACCCTTCCGGAGCACCTGAGATCACCCCCAGTTTTTGGTGGAGTTTGTGTTGCTTAGTCTTTAGTTTTCTATGTTGTGTCATCTGTACTATTATTTGTCTGTTTGTCTTTTTATTTTTGGCCATGGTGTTGTCAGTTTGTTTTCGATCTATGAGTTTGACTGTCCCTCTGGTATCTTTCATTCCTCTTTTAAATGCTTTGTAAACATGGTAAACATTTGTTAAAGTCATTTAAGCGTTTTACACTATGTAAAACGTAATTCACTGATGTTGATAATTATTGACACTGGTCTGCAATGTCTGGGAAGGAGGAATTGTCATTAATCTGTGATTTTTTCAAGTTCTTCAATGTGCCGTTTGATGATTAAGAAAGGCACATGTTTGAACTTGGAGAAACAATCAGAAATTACATCTTTGGAAGAAAGAAATAATAATTTGGCAGTTTACCATAGTAAAACAAATCATGAGAAACATCTAAAAGTAAGTTACAGAACTTAAAAAAATAAAAAGTTTATAGTCCCAAATTTTGTATGACTCTCAAAATGTACTTCTGCTGCTGTAGTGTGAAGAAAGAAAAAAACTGCTGTGCTAATTTCTGTTGTCAAATGTAAAGAGAAAACATTTTTATTGACATAATTTTGCTTTATTTCGTATACACGTCATATGTATTCAATTTCAATTTCAAGTATTAAAGTTGTCCTTTTTAGGTTTTAAACAATTTTCACCTGATGTTGAATTTCCCTTTAAAAAGATATCAATTTGCTTGATAAGATGTTCACTATTATAGAGAGAAGGGGGGGGGGGGGGAGGGGCTGGAGGTAATGTTCATGTATGAACATATGAAGCTGCTATTTTTTTTGTCAAACCCCACACCAAGTCAACTGAAATAAATTATAAAAAATGTATTTATAAAACTACAAATAATACACTAAAGAGATATCAGGGTTCTCAGGAAGTATTTTTGAAGGTGATAATGTTTGGTCATGAGGAGTCCCAGCACGGCAACAATGAGCATATATATTTTTAATTTAATAAACATACACTTTTGCTATTTAACTGAATGTTGTCTCAAAATGATCGTAAGATCTGTCTCAGAATAACCTTTTGAGTTCATGCACCAATCACTTTTAATTGTGACCTCAAATTTTTTAATTCATGATGTCATGATATGGATGTCAAATTTTACGGGAACTTGTATAACAGACAAATTTGCATACAAGTTAGTGAGAACCCTGAGATATGCTCCTCAGGCCTGAAACAAAAAAGAAATCTGAGTTGAATTTTGTAAGTCATAATTGAAAATAAGTTTTTCAAAGTTGATAAATTTATTGTTTCATAAAAGTTCATAAAATGTTCATGAAACTGTTATGAATTGATTTATGAACTTTATGAATTAATTGATTCATTAAAAGTTCATAAAATGTTCATGAACATGTGTTATGCACAATTTATGAACATTATGAACTGACTAACAGTTCATTAAAGTTCAGAAAATATTCATGAACTGCATTTTATGAACTATTCATGAACTAACTTAATGAACTTCTTATGAACAATCATGCACTGTTCATGGACATTCATGAACAGTTCATGATGGTTCATCAATTCATGAATTTCATCTGGCAGGGGTTAGAGCGCAGGTGTCGACAAACTAAATATTTGTGTCAGATATGTAAAATGCCATAACAAAGATTATGCTAAAAGATTTTTTTTGTCGACGCCTGCGCTCTATGTTTCCTATCCAAGAAATCAATGGAAATTTATCCATTTTCCTTGAATTTTCGTCGAAAATCAAAATGAGTGCTATTTGTGATGTCATGAACAGAGTGCAAGTACGTAAATTTTAAAGAAAAATTACATTTTCGATATTGTCATTGTCTAAGCTATGATTCAGTTTTGCATTGGTCAATTAATCCTAATTTTAAATTTTAGCCAGAAATAGGGGCCATTTTAGGACCTAATTGAACATACTCCTTTTACGACATGTTTTTGAAATTGTAGCAAAACTTTTGGTTGACAAATTTTAATTCGTTATTGCATAAATTATTGAATAGAAGATAAGTCTATAACTTTTCAAATGATTTTATTGTCATAATTAGTGATAATTGAGATATGAATTACTTATTGCTATTTTCTTAGTAGACTGCTACTAAGGGGAGATAATAGTGAAATAATATAATATTTCTCATATGATTACAAATGAGGACAATTAGGCCCCCTTTCCTTGAACCCAACCCTCAATTGCCCATGAACTGTGCATGTTAAATAGATTTATAGATAAACAAAAGTGAGTCTGATATTGCACAGAGGATTCAGCCAGGTAAATTGTGGCTCATACCATTTTAAGATATATGTTGTCATCCAACCAACAATGATCAATATTGAAATGATTGTATCAGGTATTATCGCTATTTTGTGTATTTTTCCTTTGATATTTTTTTGTGATAATTTTTCATATCATGCATTTTTGTTTGTCATGCTGCTCTGTATGTTCTTGCTTGAGATAGAAAATTATTGCTAGATAAACTAAAGGTGCATGTGTCGTCAGTGTAAACATCAATGATGTCATAGGCAAAATGCCATAAACAGATTATCAATCATATGGTTTTTCAAACTGGACGATTTTTCTCAGCTACATCTCATCTTAGCCTCAGGGCTGTCGCCCTTCAATGAGATTGTAAGTGATAACACCCTCTCGTTTAAAAAACAATTGATAATCTATAATTTTAAGTACTATATACAGTGTATATCTTTTTTCTCTCTATTCAGATGCAGTTAAAGGATTTGTGAATACATACAATATTTTATAAAAATCTGACAAACTGCTTAATTGCATATGCTATATATGCCTTAAATTACATAAAAGGGAGTTTGTTCAGCAATTTTAGTTGAAATTTGGTAAATCACATATATATTCATAAATTATCTTTAGTTCTAACTATAAGAAGGAGTTCCTTGGCTACAAATATCTCATCATAGAATAATAGCTGAGAACCTTCCTAGAGTTTGAAAGACCATAGGTTATCTGTTGATAGTCAGATTGCTGTATTCCAAAAAACAACATTAGGATATAACAAAAGAAAACCACATATAACCATTGTATTTTCAGACATTTAGTGTTAATGTTACTCATATTTCCTGATTACATTTTATTTGATTGGCAGTTATTGGTTCTACACTAGGACTTGTCTGGGTTATATCTATCACAGGAGAGATGTTAACAAAGCTAGGGACAAATATGGGGAAGGAGAAAGTCATTCAGTAATACAGACAAAAACATACAATGGTATGTAAAGTTAAACAAAAATATGGAGAAAGTCATTCCATAATACAAGCAAAATCATACAATGGTATGTAAAATTAAACAAAAATATGGAGAAAGTCATTCCATAATACAAACAAAATCATACAATGGTACGTTAAGTTAAACATATAAAGAGAGAAGAAGAATGCAAGTTTGTTATTAGTATACAAACACAGACATGAGATTGTAAACATAGACTAGGGCGAATACTAGTCAATTATACCAAGGGGGTGGGATTGTTTATCAATATGCTAGAGGGGGAATGGAGAGATGGAGAAAGTCATTCAGGAATTCAAGCTAAAACATAAAATAGATAGTGAAACAATTGGAAAAGATGGAGAATTTAATAATACAGACATGCAGTAATTGATCAGGTTAAAATAAGAAATGAAAGCCATTAAAAAAAAAACTAAAGGAAAATGTGTAAACGTTTTACTAATATTTGATCAAATACGACTCCTAGATCTATATAAATAAGAAAATGTGGAATGATTGCCAATGAGACAACTCTACCAAATACTAAATGAAATAGTAGTAACCAACTACAGGTCACGGTCACTCACCATACAGCCTTCAACAATGAGCAAAACCCATACTGAATAGTAAGCTATAAAAGGCCCAGAAATGACAAATGTAAAACAATGTGAATGGCCTGATTTATGTACAAAATAATAAATGAAAAACAAATATGATAAACATTAACTAAGCTGTTTAGCAGGTCTACAGCAACAACACCAGGACAAGTCAGGGGTACTACTTGTACAAGTTATCTTTATTTACTTGAAGCAGTAAAAAAATTATACTTATATAAGTTAATTATAATGTTTGAATAATCTCCCCTTAATTTTCTCAAAAATGTACTTGTATAAGTAAATTTTTTTTACAATTCCACAAAAATTCTCAAGTTTTGAGATGTAAAAGCATGCCTTTAATGATTTTTCCCAGGTTAGCTCATAATTTTTTATTAGAGTTCAATGCTTCATCTCATTAATTCAACAAAGAAACTGATTGCGCAAAGATCTTAAGTATTTGCGCAAGGCCTTCAAAAATTGCCCCTTGGAGGCTTGTAAATGAGCATTGTTCTGAAGACAACAAACAAATGAGATTTTCATTGTCCATGAAATTATACTTACATGATTAGTAAAGACATCTGCAAAGGACAGACAATTTAAAATTCTATTAGAGCAAAGAAGTCCTAAGAATTCAAGAAAAGAAGAAAGAATGACTTTTTTACATATATAAGTAAAAAAATCTGAATGTCTAAGGGACATAACTAAGCCAAAAAAATTATTTACCTATACAAGTAAATAAAATACACTTGTATAAGTATCCTACAAATTTACTTATATAAGTATATTAATATTACTTCTTCATGTAAATAAAAATTACTTGTACAAGTAGTACCCCTGACTACTGACATATGTAATATCACCTAACAATTTCAATTTAGAATTCTATTTTCATAAGTCCTGAAATGTATTATAGCATCATGACAAGATTGAAATACTGGAACACAGAAACTGTACATACATGTGTATTTAAACATCAAAGAAATATTGGTTTTATTGCTACTTTTCTTCCTGGAGATTTTTTGGTTGTCTTTTTCATGTTTTTTGTGATGACAATGATTATACTGTGAAGTGATTGATTTTATGATTACAAGTAATATACTTTTGACTGTCTCTGCCATTTTCATGATTTTGTCACTTGTAAACTTTGATAGATTATTTTCATATTACCGACTTTTGACTCTGGAGTTGTTTTTTTTCAACGGGTTGCCATCTCTGTGGTAAGACATCCTGGTACTCAGTCAAGTAAGAGCAACTTAAAGTAGTAAAATCAAGCTAATAATTGGTAAAATTTTGGGGGAAATTCACTGTTATATGTTTTCTATGCACGACAAAATCATCGGAAAACAGTAAACTTTCCCCCTAAATTGCACCGATTATATTTTTGATTTTACTTCTTTTGGTTGCTGTTACTTGACTGAGTACCAGGATGTCCTACTACAGAGTAGGTAACCACAGTCCCGTTGACAAATTATATAATCTGGAGTCAAAAGTTGGTAATATGAAAATAGTCTATTGCAATCATCAAATGCATGATTAAAGCAGGCACATTTGCATACAAAAGTACAATAACAGTTATTTTCTTATTGTTCACTTTGTTTGGCAGATTTGGAAATAACACCTGTCCCTATGTCCTTAGACAACCTAGCCTATGTAATAACAGATGGCAAGACAACAGTAGTTATAGACCCTGGAGATCCAGAACCTGTTCATGTAAGTAACCACCAGGTAGAGCTGTGCATGCATCAGATTATTTCACCCTCTCTTTGATGTTTGAACTGTTTAATTGGTTATCTTTGCATTAAGGATGTACTTAGGTGAGGTTTAGGAATTTGTGTCAGATGTTCGGACTACTTGTTTTTTTTCGTTCAATACAGGATAAAATATTTTGACCTATAACACCCATTTTTCTTTTCATTTAAGACTTCAATAGCTCATAAAAGGTTATTTATCAAAATTTAAGCAGATTCTAGATTTCTTTTCTTTCGATTTGAGACCCAAATAATACCAATGCAAATATAAGGTAAAAGTCTGAGTCAGCCTTTTCCCGCCATTTTTTAAAAATCAAATATCTCGAAAAGGAGCTCCATAACCTATCAATATTTTTAGCTTATTTTGTTCCTTAACTGATGTTCTTCTGACTTATAGTATCAATTTTAAACTCAAGATTTTTTTAATTTCACCTAATTTCATCCTTAAGTAGGGCTGAAAGGATACACTTTACCAATGTAAAGAAACTTTAAACAACTGTCATACAAGTGGGAGGTTTAGCTAGCTATAAAACCAGGTTTACCCAGCCTTTTTCTTTTGTTTTTACTTTTTTTTACCTCATAATATGATTTGATTTTCGATGAAAATTTCATGGATTTGAATTTGTCCTCCATAATTGATACATTTTTTGAACCTGAAACTAGAATATGCATCCAATCTCTCATAGTCATAGATTCATCAGCACAACTATATTAAGCAATGTTAAGTCATTATGACATCAATGTATTGAAGAAAATCTTCCAGACTTTATAAAAGAGAGTTAACTACCAATATTTTGTCATAAGAACAAAATCAAAAGTGGGAAAAGATACCAAGAGTACAATCAAAAACCATAAATTGGAAAATAAAAAAAAGACAATACCATGGTCAAAGAAAAATGAGGAAAAAAAGGCAAACAATATGTAGTCCACAAAACACTACACATCAAATTTACTGGTAGCATATTGTATAGTTAACTCAGATTTATAACTATATATACATTACACACAATCAGGTGAATCTATTTTTTCTTTGCCAGATCCCTCTGCAACCCAGTTTATTTGTATACTAATTTATTTGATGATTTGTGTTAAAACATTTTCAGGGGGAAAAAACCCATTCTATTTGAAGAATTTATTAGCACATTAAGTACTTGACAAATTAATTGCTAGTTTTTCTTTTAGGAATACCTTGAGAAGAATAACCTAACACCAGATGCTGTCTTGGTGACACATAAACATTGGTAAGTCTGTATCAATGTGTTGGAACATAGAATTGCTTAGCCTCTATCAGTGTGGTGGCACATATACATTGGTTAATTTGTATCTGTGGTGACACATATACATTGGTTAATCTATATCAGTGTGGTGACTCATAAACAATGGTAAGTCTGTATCAATGTGTTGACACATACACATTGGTAAGTCTTTATCAGTGTGGTGACACATAAACATTGGAAAGTCTGTATCAGTGTTGTGACACATAAACATTGGTAAGTATGTATCAGTGTGGTGACACATCAGTCAGGGGACTTATTGAAATAAGTGATTTTTAAATCACTTATTTAAGTAGCAAGTTCAAAGTTTTGTCACAAATTTTGATTTTGTAGTTTTACCAAAATTTTAAACACATAGGTTTAGATAATATCTTTTCATTAGTAAAATTGAAAAAAAAATGAACTTTTTGCTTCTATTAAGCAGCAGGGTTTATGCCTTTGATGCAATCATTTAGCTGCAAATTCTATTTTAGTTGAAAAAATGCTATGAAAATGGCTTTACATAATGAACTGATACTTTCTTAACAGCAGTGGGAGTATTTTTCCTGTAAAATTCAAGGTTTCATCTTCTAGATTATGTAATAAAATTCTACTGTTCGCGATCAAAATTTCACTGTTCAGGGGTGTTGAAATTAGTAGGGGTTATTAAAATAATGATACTTAAAGAAGTTAATTTTTGGAAGGAAATTGAGGTATGATACTTAAAACAAGTGATATTTATGTCATTATTCTAGATTTAGTACAAGTCATCACCTGACTTGACCTGGTCATCCTATCAACACAGATATTGGTTCTGATAATTTTAGCAACATAATTAGTCCCTGGATCATTAGTACTCTATATTTAAAGTACAATAAAATTAAATCACTTAGTCTAGTGATTAATTTGTACTACTTAAATAGGTGATTATTAAAGAAAGACAACTCTTACTTCCAACCTTTATGGACATAATGTTAATTGAATCAGTGATTTAGAAAATCACTCATTTAAGTAAGTCCCCTGACTGCACATAAACATAGGTAAGTATGTATCAGTGTGGTGACACATAAACATTATTGGTAAGTATGTATCAGTGTGGTGACATAAACATAGGTAAGTATGTATCAGTGTGGTGACACATAAACATTGGCAAGACTGTATGAATGTTACAAAGGAACAATTCTGAATTATTTAGTAACTTTTCATACAAAGATGTACATAGAAATTTGTTGTTTATTATTTACCAGTATATGGTACTTTTTGTTGTAGAAATAGTACATTTTTTAATACTGGTTAATAAAATCATAATACAGTGTGTACTGGCTGGTCATTATCGCGTATGATACGATTTTGACACGCCTACATAGCTGATGAATATTCATGACTTTATAGATAAGGACAGCACATGTAGCCAAACAGAGTGTTGTTGGAGATTTGTAGGGTAAATGTACATACGTAGTGTATAAAATTATTTATGTGATATTTCTTTTGTTCATTATTTATGGGGTATTTATTTGTGTATTATTTCTTTGATATTTCTTAATTGATGTTTTATTTGTTTATTACCTATTTGATATTTCATTTGTTTATTAACTATTTATAGGTTTCATAACGAGTGAGAATTGGATATCGCTTGATATCAAATTGAGTTATTTAATTTCAATTTAACAATAAATGAGCCTTTAGCAAGTTTATTATTTCTATTTAGATTAAATAGGGAGAGTTGATATCAAGCGATATCCAATTCTCATGAGTTGTTAAACCTATTTCTCTTATTATTAAGATCAACACTCTCATTGTTTTCAATAAAAATTTCCGTGAATAGTTGATCTAATCTTTAGCAGATACCAGCATGAGGTCATATGTCCTTTTCCAGTGTCAAACTTTAACATCAGACATTCTGAATATTATTGTATGCTACAGAATGTAATAACATTTGATAAGAAGAGGATTTCCAGGTGAAAAGTGTGAGTGTTTTGTATATTATCGAAGAAATCACATATGTCTGTTGCCATGGATGAAATGTATATCACCTTAGCCTTTGACAGTTAACAATGACCTAACCAATAGCCAACGGAAATGTCTTAATATGGTTTTCTAATCCTGGATAAGCCAAATAAAATAAACACAGTTTTCATATCACTTTTTCGTATCACACTCCCTGCAGTGTGATACGAGAAATATCTCTTCATGTAGAAAATAGATAATAGGCCATAATCAAAAGAGAATTGATATTTCTTTATTTAAAACATATATATATAGCCGACTATACGGTATGGTTTTTTCTCATTGTTGAAGGCAGTACAGTTGCCCATAATTGCTTACAGCCACTTCATTTGGAATTTGGTGGATAGTTGTCTCATTGGCAATCATACCTCATCCCCTTATTTTTATAATGGTTATTCTGTGTTTTTTCCTTTATATGATAATTCTTTATTTATTACTTTTGTGTTTTTTATTTATACATTTCTTTATTTATTATTTATAAGTTATGTGGTATTTTTCTAAATATAACTTTTCTGGTAGTATTTTTAGATTCATTACTTACTTGATTTTATTTTAAATTTATTTATTTTTTTTTTTTCTCTAAGGGACCACAGTGGAGGAAACTCAGAGATGAAAAAGAAATACAGAAAAATTAAGATATATGGCAGTGCTTCAGATAATATAAATAATGTTACCAAGTAAGTCGTTGAAATTGTAGATATAGTAGATATTAATCTGCAAAGTCTATGCTAATTTATTACTTATAATCATCAAATTTCATCCTACCCTGCATAAATCTATGTCATGACTTTTTGGATGACTGAGTTATCACTGGTTGATACAGGGGGCTCCAGAAGGGTATCCAACTTATGTCACAAGATCACCTTTTATAATGACCTCAAGTCACCAGGTCACTTTTAAGCAAATAAAACATCTATCCAAAACGGTTTTGAACTTTTCTAAAGGTCACAGGTACTTTTAAATGAGACATTAGATTACATTGTTGCCCTTAAAACCCCTTAAGACTGCAGGTTAAATTTGACCATGCTATTGCCTCTTATTGGTTTCAGGAATTTTTGTTATGTAAAACAAGATTACAGAAGGGACAGAAAATAGTAATAGATATATTTACTAAAATATATTCAACCTGTTAGAGAAGATGCCACCTGGATCCTTACCATATCTGCTCCTTTTTCAAAGATAATATTAAGGAACTATTTACTGTAAAAAACCTTTGTAGGCAATTTACGTAAAGACTGTATTTTGCTCTATAGACGTCCTATGGTAGTTTGTGTCACGTAAAGACTGTATTTTGCTCTATAGACGTCCTATGGTAGTTTGTGTCACGTAAAGACTGTATTTTGCTCTATAGACGTCCTATGGTAGTTTGTGTCACGTAAAGACTGTATTTTGCTCTATAGACTTCCTATGGTAGTTTGTGTCACGTAAAGACTGTATTTTGCTCTATAGACGTCCTATGGTAGTTTGTGTCACGTAAAGACTGTATTTTGCTGTATAGACGTCCTATGGTAGTTTGTGTCATGTAAAGACTGTATTTTGCTCTATAGACGTCCTATGGTAGTTTGTGTCACGTAAAGACTGTATTTTGCTGTATAGACGTCCTATGGTAGTTTGTGTCACGTAAAGACTGTATTTTGCTCTATAGACGTCCTATGGTAGTTTGTGTCACGTAAAGACTGTATTTTGCTCTATAGACGTCCTATGGTAGTTTGTGTCAATGGGTGGTTGTTTGATTGACATATACCCCTCATTCTATTGTACTTATATTCAATTTATAAGTTTATTCCGTTGCTGTCCAACTGTCAAATGACAATGCACATAAAGTCATATGCTGTTTTGTGTTGCTATAAACTAAATATATTATCAGCTCTGAGTCAAAATAATGTGTCAATGTACAAAGTGACCATTACCTTGCAACTAGCTCGCTCATTATAAATCATGCTCAGCATTTTGTTATGATACAAAGCAAAACATATTTATTTGGCATCAACATGTTCTTATCCTGAAATGCATGTAATACTTGCAAGAAAGGATAATGTCACTTTCACATGAAAAAAATATATATACATCAGTGAGACAGCAATCCAACAACATAAAAAAACCAAGAGACATCTGTTTTTCTTTGTGTTCTAAAGATATTTTCAGGATCCTCCAGAAATACTGTTCCTTTAAAGCTGGAATTTCATTCATTGATATAATGATTCTCAGAGCAGAAAATAGAACAAAGTGATGTCAGATCCTTGTAGGGAAAGGGTGGACACAGGATCAATACTTCAATCATATAAACATAGTTGATTCATTATATCATTAAACCTGGTGCCTCCTAATTCTTAGCTGATTTATACTTTACTTGACCGGTTGATTATTTTTATTTAATCAATGTGTTGTTAGTTTGATATCATTGGTCAAAATTCAATTATTATGTCAAATTGTATTGCCTTCATCTTAATTTGCTATTGTGATGTCAAGTAAAATATGCTTGATGACATCACATAAAAAGAACACATTTTTTTGCAGATCATTGGAAAAGAAAGATACAACTTGTTTACATATTGTCTAGAAATCATAAGAGAAACAGAAACCATCACAAAATCTGATATCTCATGCAATACCATATATCCCCACTCTTGACAGATATATTTTGCAGGATTTTTGGATAGTCTTTGTATATTATTTTATTCTTTCCAGTGGTGTAACAAATGGTGAAGAACTAATGTTTGAAACTATGAAGTTTACCTGTCACTTGTCACCAGGTCATACAACAGGTCACATGTACTTTGTTTTAGATGGTTCCCCTTATAGAGCCCCAGATTCTGTGTTTTCAGGGGATCATTTGTTCCTAGGTGGTTGTGGTAAGTAGGCTTATGATTTTTGTATTTTTAATATTAGGTTATACTGGGGATTGGTTATTGTTTGTGGTTCACTAATAATTGTTAATTTGATGGGCGAAGGTGAGTGTTCAACAAAATAAAAATTCCTATAGGCGTGTACAAGGGTACAGAAAATTTGGCACACGATTTCAGTATTTTTTTGGACTAGAAAGCCAAAATTTTTTAATTTCAAACTCAAATTTGTACCAGACATCATGATATAAACCAATCTCTATTAAAGGAGGAATCATACTTGTAAATGTGTTTTATTAGAAATAATAATCATTCTCATCATTATATAAATGCACATTTTACTATTGTACTCAAAAAGAGAGGGACACCTGCATGCATGCTTAATGCTAAATAAATATTAGTATGTTCAACTTTATTTAATGAAATTACATCCTGAAATACAATTCAAGGACCTTTTAAAATTAGCCTTGTCTGGAAAATATGACGGTTTCTGGACTCTTGGGCATTGATGCAGATTCTCTCTTAAATTTTTACTGAATTTTAGTTTTGTTAAACAAAATCTTTTAAATCTAGAAGTGAAAATTACACGTATGGTTAATAACATTGTTAACAAGTTCTGACTGTAACTTTTAACAGTAAACTCTTAAGTTTTATGGACTTAAGGATGTTAGCTATTCTGTTTCAAAATAACAAGCTATTTAAAACACTGTTATAAATTGATAGTATATAAATAAAGGAACTAAAAAAGCAGAAAAAAATGAAGGGTCTGTGAGCTCGCTTTCGAGATATAAGCTTTTGAAAATTTGATGGGAAATGATTCTCTCTAGATTTTTCATACATTTAACATTGGTACCTTTTTTCTTTCAAAACTATAAAAAAAAATAACAAGGATTTAATAAGATTTTCAAATATGGCTTGTAAAACTATATGTAATAAAAATATGAAAAAAAAAGTAGGGGTTAGCGGGCAAAATTTTTAATGGCACTACATGGATAAAACCAGAGGATTCTGAATATCTGATAGGCAATAAGTTATTTTTAAGTCATTGATTAACATCCTGCAGCTTTTTTTATTCTTTTTCTTATTTTATAGGAAGGATGTTTGAGAAACCTGCATTTTCAATGTTGAAGTCACTTGATGAGATTTCAGATCTACCCCAAGACACATTGGTCTGGCCAGGTGAGACGTGGTGTACAAAATAAAAAATAATCACAAGATAACAGTTACCTTGTCAGATCAAATTGTGTATTCCAGCTGTTGATTAAAGTTACAGAACTTTAACATTGTGATCAGTTGAAAAGCTGTTAGGCTTACAAAGACATTCTAAATTATACCCCTACTCTTAAGTGGGGCTTTAATTCAATTCACCTTGTCTGTCTGTCCATTTATTTTTCCATCCGTCAGTTTGTCCAACAAATATTTCATTCACACTTTTCTCAGGTACTACTGTAATTGGTCAGCATCTTGACAGTGATGAGATATAACGTGTACAGTGATGAGTTATAACGTGTGAGCACTTTTCAGATTTGTCAGACATAAACTTCCTGTTTGTTGATACTTTGAATTATTCAAAAGTTTTATCAACTTAAATTGTTTGTCACACTTTTCTCACGTACTATTGAATAGAATTATTTTGAATTTGATCAACAGCCTAACATTGATGAGTTGTAACTTTTATGAACCTTTTGGATCTGTTGGATCCTAATTCCTGTATTCTGATACTTTCAATGACAAGTTCTTATTGACCATGAAAAATAAAACAACAAAGCATATTTAGATAAACATAAACATGAATTATTGAAATTTAACAGAGGTTTAATCTTTTTTTTGCATATTTGAAGAAATTTTATAAAAAAAAGTGTGATAAAAAATTGCAAGTATTTCCATTACAGGTCATGAATATGCATCGGATAACCTAGAATTTGCCTGCCATGTGGAACCAAGCAATGAAAAAGCAAAGGTAGGGCTTTACCATGCTCAACATAATATATGTGTACTCTTTGGCTTCTTTTAACTTATTGTCTGTTTGTCTGAATTTCTATGAAATCCATTAAGTGGTCATTTGATTAATATGTGCAAAACTTACACATTGGTGTCACTATATAGTACAACATTCATGAACAACATGTCAGGTGCATAGATGTAAATTTCATTCTTGATTGACATTAATAGATTTGTTTCCAAAACCCTTTGATAATATATGAATGAAGAATCAGATTCTGTATCAAATTCATCAATATATGAAAAAAATAAAGATTAAGTAACAAGAACCCTTCCAAAGATATTTGGTGAACTTAGGTGTTTTAGAATCTTGCTTATCATTTTCTTTCTGTCTCCTTAACACAGGATTCAGATGATTTTATTCTTTCATTTAAGTTTAAAAACATGACAGAATGGATCTGTTCAGAGACTTAATGTCTGTCCTTTTGAAATTAGAATAAGATGATGTGGTATGATTGCTAATGAGAAAACCCTCCACCAGAGACCAAATGATGTAGAAGTAAAAAACTATACAGCCTTCAACAATGAGCAAAATCTGTACTGCATAGCAAGCTATAAAAGGCTCCAAAATTACAAATAGAAAATAAATCAAATGAAAAAACTAATGACCTGAAATATCTAAAAAACAATAAACGATAATACATATTATATACAGCAACAACGACAACCACTGAATAAGAGGCTCCTAAGCTGGGACTGACATATACAGAATATACCAACCCTCCCCTAACCTGGGACAGACATATACAGAATATACCAACCCTCCCCAACCTGGGACAGATATATACAGAATATACCAACCCTCCGCTAACCTGGGACAGATATGTACAGAATATACCAACCCTCCCCTAACCTGAGACAGACATATACAGAATATACCAACCCTCCCCTAACCTGGGACAGACATATACAGAATATACCAACTCTCCCCTAACCTGGGACAGACATATACAGAATATACCAACCCTCCCCTAACCTGGGACAGACATATACAGAATATACCAACCCTCCACTAACCTGGGACAGACATATACAGAATATACTAACCTGAGACAGACATATACAGAATATACCAACCCTCCCCTAACCTGGGACAGATATGTACAGAATATACCAACCCTCCCCTAACCTGGGACAGACATATACAGAATATACCAACCCTCCCCTAACCTAGGACAGACATATACAGAATATACCAACCCTCCCCTTACCTAGGACAGACATATACAGAATATACCAACCCTCCGCTAACCTGCGACAGACATATACAGAATATACCAACCCTCCCTTAACCTAGGACAGACATATACAGAATATACCAACCCTCCCCTAACCTGAGACAGACATATACAGAATATACCAACCCTCCCCTAACCTGGGACAGATATGTACAGAATATACCAACCCTCCCCTAACCTGGGACAGACATATACAGAATATACCAACCCTCCGCTAACCTGAGACAGACATATACAGAATATACCAACCCTCCCCTAACCTGAGACAGACATATAAAGAATATACCAACCCTCTCCTAACCTGGGACAGATATGTACAGAATATACCAACCCTCCCCTAACCTGAGACAGACATATACAGAATATACCAACCCTCCCCTAACCTGGGACAGACAAATACAGAATATACCAACCCTCCCCTAACCTGAGACAGACATATACAGAATATACCAACCCTCCACTAACCTGAGACAGACATGTACAGAATATACCAACCCTCCCCTAACCTAGGACAGACATATACAGAATATACCAACCCTCCCCTAACCTGAGACAGACATATACAGAATATACCAACCCTCCCCTAACCTAGGACAGACATATACAGAATATACCAACCCTCCGCTAACCTGAGACAGACATGTACAGAATATACCAACCCTCTCCTAATCTGGGACAGACATGTACAGAATATACCAACCCTCTGCTAACCTGGGACAGACATGTACAGAATATACCAACCCTCCCCTAACCTGAGACAGACATATACAGAATATACCAACCCTCCCCTAACCTGAGACAGACATATACAGAATATACCAACCCTCCGCTAACCTGAGACAGACATATACAGAATATACCAACCCTCCCCTAACCTGGACAGATATGTACAGAATATACCAACCCTCCCCTAACCTGAGACAGACATATACAGAATATACCAACCCTCCCCTAACCTGGGACAGACATATACAGAATATACCAACCCTTCCCTTACCTAGGACAGACATATACAGAATATACCAACCCTCCGCTAACCTGGGACAGACATATACAGAATATACCAACCCTCCCCTAACCTGAGACAGACATATACAGAATATACCAACCCTCCGCTAACCTGAGACAGACATATACAGAATATACCAACCCTCCGCTAACCTGAGACAGACATATACAGAATATACCAACCCTCCCCTAACCTAGGACAGACATATACAGAATATACCAACCCTCCCCTAACCTGAGACAGACATATACAGAATATACCAACCCTCCGCTAACCTGAGACAGACATATACAGAATATACCAACCCTCCTCTAACCTAGGACAGACATATACAGAATATACCAACCCTCCCCTAACCTGAGACAGACATATACAGAATATACCAACCCTCCCCTAACCTGACACAGACATATACAGAATATACCAACCCTCCCCTAACCTAGGACAGACATATACAGAATATACCAACCCTCCGCTAACCTGAGACAGACATGTACAGAATATACCAACCCTCTCCTAATCTGGGACAGACATGTACAGAATATACCAACCCTCTCCTAATCTGGGACAGACATATACAGAATATACCAACCCTTTCCTAACCTAGGACAGACATGTACAGAACATACCAACCCTCCCCTTACCTAGGACAGACATATACAGAATATACCAACCCACTCCTAACCTGGGACAGACATATACAGAATATACCAACCCTCTCCTAACCTGGGACAGACATGTACAGAATATACCAACCCTCCCCTAACCTGAGACAGACATATACAGAATATACCAACCCTCCCCTAACCTGAGACAGACATATACAGAATATACCAACCCTCCCCTAACCTGAGACAGACATGTACAGAATATACCAACCCTCCGCTAACCTGAGACAGGCATATACAGAATATACCGACCCTCCCCTAACCTAGGACAAACATATACAGAATATACCAACCCTCTCCTAACCTAGGACAGACATATACAGAATATACCAACCCTCCCCTAACCTGAGACAGACATATACAGAATATACCAACCCTCCGCTAATCTGAGACAGACATATACAGAACATACCAACCCTCCCCTAACCTGAGACAGACATATACAGAATATACCAACCCTCCCCTAACCTGAGACAGACATATACAGAATATACCAACCCTCTCCTAACCTGAGACAGACATATACTGAATATACCAACCCTCCCCTAACCTGGGACAGATATGTACAGAATATACCAACCCTCCCCTAACCTGAGACAGACATATACAGAATATACCAACCCTCCCCTAACCTGGGACAGATATGTACAGAATATACCAACCCTCCCCTAACCTGGGACAGACATATACAGAATATACCAACCCTCCCCTAACCTGGGACAGATATGTACAGAATATACCAACCCTCCCCTAACCTGGGACAGACCTATACAGAATATACCAACCCTCCCCTAACCTGGGACAGATATGTACAGAATATACCAACCATCCCCTAACCTGGGACAGACCTATACAGAATATACCAACCCTCACCTAACCTGAGACAGATATGTACAGAATATACCAACCCTCCCCTAACCTGGGACAGACCTATACAGAATATACCAACCCTCCCCTAACCTGGGACAGATATGTACAGAATATACCAACCCTCCCCTAACCTGGGACAGACCTATACAGAATATACCAACCCTCCCCTAACCTGGGACAGACATGTACAGAATATACCAACCCTCCCCAACCTGGGACAGATATGTACAGAATATACCAACCCTCCCCTAACCTGGGACAGACATATACAGAATATACCAACCCTCCCCTAACCTGGGACAGATATGTACAGAATATACCAACCCTCCCCTAACCTGGGACAGACCTATACAGAATATACCAACCCTCCCCTAACCTGAGACAGACATGTACAGAATATACCAACCCTCCCCTAACCTGGGACAGACATATACAGAATATACCAACCCTCCCCAACCTGGGACAGATATGTACAGAATATACCAACCCTCCCCTAACCTAGGAGAGACATATACAGAATATACCAACCCTCCCCTAACCTGAGACAGACATATACAGAATATACCAACCCTCCCCTAACCTGGGACAGACATATACAGAATATACCAACCCTCCCCAACCTGGGACAGATATGTACAGAATATACCAACCCTCCCCTAACCTAGGAGAGACATATACAGAATATACCAACCCTCCCCTAACCTGAGACAGACATATACAGAATATACCAACCCTCCCCTAACCTGAGACAGACATATACAGATTATACAAACCCTCCGCTAACCTGAGACAAGACATATACAGAATATACCAACCCTCCCCTAACCTAGGACAGACATATACAGAATATACCAACCCTCCCCTAACCTGAGACAGACATATACAGAATATACCAACCCTCCGCTAACCTGAGACAGACATATACAGAATATACCAACCCTCACCTAACCTGAGACAGACATGTACAGAATATACCAACCCTCCCCTAACCTGAGACAAACATATACAATATACCAACCCTCCCCTAACCTGGGACAGACATATACAGAATATACCAACCCTCTCCTAACCTGGGACAGACATATACAGAATATACCAACCCTCTCCTAACCTGAGACAGACATATACAGAATATACCAACCCTCCCCTAACCTGAGACAGACATATACAGAATATACCAACCCTCCGCTAACCTGAGACAGACATATACAGAATATACCAACCCTCCCCTAACCTGAGACAGACATGTACAGAATATACCAACCCTCCCCATAACCTGAGACAGACATATAAAATATACCAACCCTCCCCTAACCTGGAACAGACATATACAGAATATACCAACCCTCTCCTAACCTGAGACAGACATATACAGAATATACCAACCCTCCCCTAACCTGAGACAGACATATACAGAATATACCAACCCTCCGCTAACCTGAGACAGACATATACAGAATATACCAACCCTCCCCTAACCTAGGACAGACATATACAGAATATACCAACCCTCCCCTAACCTGAGACAGACATATACAGAATATACCAACCCTCCGCTAACCTGAGACAGACATATACAGAATTTACCAACCCTCCCCAAACCTGAGACAGACATGTACAGAATATACCAACCCTCCCCTAACCTGAGACAGACATATACAATATACCAACCCTCCCCTAACCTGGGACAGACATATACAGAATATACCAACCCTCTCCTAACCTGGGACAGACATATACAGAATATACCAACCCTCTCCTAACCTGAGACAGACATATACAGAATATACCAACCCTCCCCTAACCTGAGACAGACATATACAGAATATACCAACCCTCCGCTAACCTGAGACAGACATATACAGAATATACCAACCCTCCCCTAACCTGAGACAGACATGTACAGAATATGCCAACTCTCCCCTAACCTGAGACAGACATATAAAATATACCAACCCCTCCCCTAACCTGGGACAGACATATACAGAATATACCAACCCTCTCCTAACCTGAGACAGACATGTACAGAATATACCAACCCTCTCCTAACCTGAGACAGACATATACAGAATATACCAACCCTCCCCTAACCTGAGACAGACATCTACAGAATAAACCAACCCTCCGCTAACCTGAGACAGACATATACAGAATATACCAACCCTCCCCTAACCTGAGACAGACATATACAGAATATACCAACCCTCCCCTAACCTGAGACAGACATATACAGAATATACCAACCCTCCCCTAACCTGAGACAGACATATACAGAATTTACCAACCCTCCCCTAACCTGAGACAGACATGTACAGAATATACCAACCCTCCCCTAACCTGAGACAGACATATACAGAATATACCAACCCTCTCCTAACCTAGGACAGACATGTACAGAATATACCAACCCTCCCCTAACCTAGGACAGACATGTACAGAATATACCAACCCTCTCCTAACCTGGGTCAGACATATACAGAATATACCAACCCACTCCTAACCTGGGACAGACATATACAGAATATACCAACCCTCTCCTAACCTGGGACAGACATGTACAGAATATACCAACCCTCCCCTAACCTGAGACAGACATGTACAGAATATACCAACCCTCCCCTAACCTGAGACAGACATATACAGAATATACCAACCCTCCCCTAACCTGAGACAGACATATACAGAATATACCAACCCTCTCCTAACCTGAGACAGACATGTACAGAATATACCAACCCTCTCCTAACCTGAGACAGACATATACAGAATATACCAACCCTCCCCTAACCTAGGACAGACATATACAGAATATACCAACCCTCCCCTAACCTGGGACAGACATATACAGAATATACCAACCCTCTCCTAACCTGAGACAGACATATACAGAATATACCAACTCTCCCCTAACCTAGGACAGACATATACAGAATATACCAACCCTCCCCTAACCTGGGACAGACATATACAGAATATACCAACCCTCTCCTAACCAGAGACAGACATATACAGAATATACCAACCCTCCCCTAACCTGAGACAGACATATACAGAATATACCAACACTCCGCTAACCTGAGACAGACATATACAGAATATACCAACCCTCCCCTAACCTGAGACAGACATGTACAGAATATACCAACCCTCCCCTAACCTGAGACAGGCATATACAGAATATACCAACCCTCCGCTAACCTAGGACAGACATGTACAGAATATATCAACCCTCCCCTAACCTGAGACAGACATATACAGAATATACCAACCCTCCCCTAACCTGAGACAGACATATACAGAATATACCAACACTCCCCTAACCTGAGACAGACATATACAGAATTTACCAACCCTCCGCTAACCTGGGACAGACATATACAGAATATACCAACCCTCCCCTAACCTGAGACAGACATATACAGAATATACCAATCCTCCGCTAACCTAGAACAGACATATACAGAATATACCAACCCTCCCCTAACCTGGGACAGACATATACAGAATATACCAACCCTCCCCTAACCTGAGACAGACATATACAGAATATACCAACCCTCCGCTAACCTAGGACAGACATGTACAGAATATACCAACCCTCCCCTAACCTGAGACAGACATATACAGAATATACCAACCCTCTCCTAACCTAGGACAGACATGTACAGAATATACTAACCCTCTCCTAACCCAAGACAGACATATACAGAATATACCAACCCTCTCCTAACCTGAGACAGACATATACAGAATATACCAACCCTCCCCTAACCTGGGACAGACATATACAGAATATACCAACCCTCCCCTAACCTGAGACAGACATATACAGAATATACCAACCCTCCCCTAACCTGAGACAGACATATACAGAATATACCAACCCTCCCCTAACCTAGGACAGACATGTACAGAATATACCAACCCTCCGCTCACCTTAGACAGACATATACAGAATATACCAACCCTCCCCTAACCTAGGACAGACATATACAGAATATACCAACCCTCCCCTAACCTGAGACAGACATATACAGAATATACCAACCCTCCGCTTACCTGAGACAGACATATACAGAATATACCAACCCTCCCCTAACCTGAGACAGACATATACAATATACCAACCGTCTCCTAACCTGAGACAGTGGTGTAACAGCACAGCATAAGAATTAGTTGAAAAAGGCTTGCCTCATCAGATCCACACAAAACACATCAATAAACAACTATTAAAAAGACTTTAAAAGATTCAAAGTACCCAATTTTCAAAGTATGTTAACTGTCTCAGAGTCCTCATAACTAATACCTGAATCAAACAGTCAAACAATAGATCCTGTTATGGAACACCTTCTGAAATGATCTATTATGTGAATCTGGTAACAAATGTAAAGAAAATTTTAAACAGAAAAGTTAGTTCTTAGCTATGCAATGCTCAATTTATTACCATTAAGACGTCATCTCACTAATTTCTGAAATAACAGTGTTTCAACATAAGGTATGGAATAAAACACATATAATCAGGATAATTATGCAGTTTGTTTGTTAATATTTTTAGGAAAAGTTAATATGGGTGAAAGAACAAAGACTAAAGAAAATGTGTACAGTAAGGAAAATGTTCATTTACTTGAATTTATAATCATATTTCCAGGTCATTGAGTTTTAAAATTCATCATGCCATTTCAGAGTTTATGTATTTCTCGGCATAAAAGAAAGTTTTCTTGCATTTTGATATTATTATTATGTTTATATAATTGAAACAACTGCTTTTTGAAACAAATTTCAGAGAAGGAAGTAAAAATTTCAGGACATGTATGTGCCAAAGCCGTCAAACTATTTGATTTCCAGTGTATGCATTTTAATATTAAACAGAAGAAAAGAAAATATTTAGCATTATCGCTATTTTTGTCGAGCATGCGAATTTAGTAGCAGAAAGCTTGACATAGGAATAGTGATCTGGCGGCGGCAGCGTTAACTAACTTCTTAAAAGCTTTATATTTCAAAAGGTGGAAGACCTGGATGCTTCATACTTTGTATATAGATGCCTTATGTTACGAAGTTTCCGTCTGTCACATGTCCATTGTCCTTGACCTCATTTTCATGGTTCAGTGACTACTTGAAAAAAAAGATCAGATTTTTTGTAATGTTAATTTTTCTCTTGTTATGAGTAATAGGATAACTATATTTGGTATGTGCGTACCTTGCAAGGTCCTCATGCCCGTCAGACTGTTTTTACTTGACCTTGACCTCATTTCATGGATCAGTGAACAAGGTTAAATTTTGGTGGTCAAGTCCATATCTCAGATACTATAAGCAATAGGTCTAGTATATTAGGTGTATGGAAGGATTGTAAGGTGACCTCATTTTCATGGTTCAGTGGTTATAGTTAAGTTTTTGTGTTTTGGTCTGTTTTTCTTATACTGTATGCAATAGGTCTACTATATTTTGTGTATGGAAATATTTTATGATGTACATGTCAGTCTGGCAGGTTTTATTTGACCTTGACCTCATTTTCACGGTTCATTGCTCAGTGTTAAGTTTTTGTGTTTTGGTCTGTTTTTCTTTAACTATAAATAATAGGTCAACTATATTTGTTGTATGGAAGGATTGTAAGCTGTACATGTCTGCCTGACATGGTTCATCTGACTTTGACCTCATTTTCATGGTTCATTGGTCCATGTTTAGTTTTCTTGGTTAAGTCTATTACTTAGAAACTATAAGCAATAGGTCAACTATATTTAGTGTATTGAATGATTGTAAGGTGTACATGTATTTCTCGTTTGGTTTATATGACCTTGACCTCATTTTCTTGGATCAAGTTAAGTTTATGTGATAGTTGTAGTAAAGCTTTATATTTAGGACTATCAACATAATATCAATGGTTAGTAAAGAAGGCTAGACATTTCAGCGTGTGCACTTTTGTATAAAAATGATTTACATCTGAAAAACTTCAATTTTCAAACATATATCACCTGACTATTTAAGGTCAACAAAGATCACTTTCAACTATCACAATGTTCAAATATTTCAGTGTCCGTCAACAATGGGAGAAGAATTAACATATAATCCATTCCTGCGAACAAAAGAGAAGACAATAATGGTAGCTGCTGGTGCCCTGTTTGAAGGAGAATATAAAGTACCAGATGATGATGCTAGAGCACAAGCTTTGTTTGAACTAAGACAGATGAAAGACAAATATAAATACAAATTATGATAAAGTTTCATGTATATATTGTATTTATGTGTAAATTAGAGGGTTGTAAGGTATATTTAACATGCATTAAAATGAACAATTTTCACTAGTACTGATATTTTCAACTCAAAGTGGTCGATGAATACTGCTGTCAAATTATCTTTCATATAATCTTTTTTAATTTTTATTTAAAAAAAAATTATTCTGAAAATTCATGTGACAAATCAAATACCAATGTTCATAAAAATAATTCACTTTGAACTGTGCTTTGTGGTTTCTTGAAACTTTCTTCACCAAAAAATAACAAAATGGAAGGTTGTAAGTTTTGTTTATTGAGCTCTTAAGGTCATACGATACAGTCACTGGAGTGGTAATGACGTTGCTATCGTAATATGCTATTTTTCGCGACGTCAAACTGTGACTTATCGGGAAAAGATACATTTTTCGAGGGATTTAAATCTTTAGCTTGAAAACGAATACACAGACTCCTCTTTTTTAAGATGACAAATGACTTGAAACTGTATGAAGATTATTTGTTCCAACTTTTATGAAAGAATCACCGAAGAATTTTTATACGACCGCAAACAAATTTTGCAGGCTTATATTGGTATGACGTTGGCATTGTCGTCGTCCGAAGACACATTAGTTTTCGCACTCTAACTTTAGTTTAAGTGAATGGATCTATATGAAATTTTACCATAAGGTTCAATACCACAAAAGTGAAGGTTGGGATTGATTTTGGGGGTTATGGTACCAACAGTTAAGGAATTAGGGGCCAAAAAGGGACCAAAAATAAGCATTTTTGTAACTTCCAGACATAACTTGTGTGTTAGTGTATGGATCTCGCTGACATTGTACCACAAGGTTCCATATCACAAAGGGAATGCTGGGATTGATTTTGGGGGTAATTGCCTCCAAATTTTAGGAATTAGGGGCCAAAAAACGGGAAAAAAACAAGCATTTTTCTAGTTTCATGACACAATAACTTGTGTGTAAGTGTATGGATCTTTCTGAAATTGTACTACAAGGTTCTATATCACAAAGGGAAAGCTGGAATTGAGTTTGGGGGTAATTGCCCAAAACATTTAGGAATAAGGGGCCAAAAAGGGACCAAAAATAAGCATTTTTCTAGTTTCCAGACAATAACTTGTGTTTAAGTGAATGGATCTCTATGAAATTGTACTGCAAGGGAAGGCTGGGATTGATTTTGGGGGTAATTGCCTAAAATTGTAAGGAATTAGGGGCCAAAAGGCGGCAAAAAAACAAGCATTTTTCTAGTTTCAGGACAATAACTTGTGTGTAAGTGTATGGATCCTTATAAAATTGTACTACAAGGTTCCATATCACAAAGAGAAAGCTGGGTTTGAGTTTGGGGGTAATTGCCCTAAATATTTAGGAATTTGGGGCCAAAAAGGGGCCAAAAAACAAGCATTTTTCTAGTTTCCAGACAATAACTTGTGTTCAAGTGTATAGATCTCTCTGAAATTGTATGCAAGGTACCATACTACAAAGGGAATGCTGGGATTGAGTTTTGGTGTGATGAATCATAAGGGGGTTCAAAAAATTTGGGGGGGGGGGGGAGGGTTCCTTTTTTTTCTTTAAAATTTTCCATTTTAAATTGGTTATTTTTGATTTATATATAAAAGCAAATAATAATGATATGGTTTGAATAGGTAAATTAAAAATTTTTAAGTTCTTAGACCACATTCATTCTGTGTCAGAAACCTATGCTGTGTCAAATATTTAATCACAATCCAAATTCAGTGCTGTATCAAGCTTGAATGTTGTGTCCATACTTGCCCCAACTGTTCAGGATTCGACCTCTGTGGTCGTATCAAGCTGGGCCCAGCGAAGCATTTTATTTTAAAAATTAGAGAAATATGCAGCAAAAAATGCTGTTTTTCACTAAAATCATGAAATTTTAATAAAAATGAATTATTTTCAAACAATTGTTACACAAATTAAGAGCATACTTTTGTAAAGAAGATATTCAAAATTGTTTTATAAAAATCTGCATGTGTTTATCTTTTGAAACAAAAAGGTTAAGTATGTCTGTCCAAAGGATGGAAATGTACAAGAAACTGAAATTTTAAGTAAATGTCTAAAAGTTTGACCCCATTTATCTCTAAATATAGCATATGAAGGTATATTTTTTATTACATATTTGAATTAACTAAGTGAAAAATAGCTTGTATGCAAATTTTCGTAAAAATTAAACCATGGGATAAAAACTGTATCGTATGCCCTTGAACATTTTCATGAGTAATTTTAAACTCTGCTGCAAACTATCTTTAACATGATTGTTTTTCAAATTTTTGTTTTTTTTGTTTTTAATTGAATTAAATAGAACTTTGAGGCTTAAGTAAACGATTAATTTGTGAAAATCATGTAGACATTTTTATACATAATTACTTGGAATATGATAATTTCTTTTTGTATTACTTCTTTTTGTAGTGCGCTTGACTCCAATCTTAATTGTCAGTTTTCCTACCGAAGATTGGTGATTCTCTCCAGGCGCTATGGCTTCCTCCACAAATAAAAACTGACCGCCACGGAATAGCACAATAGTGTTGAAAGTGGCATTTAACACCAAATAATCAATCAATCTTTTGTAGTGCCATTTATCAGTCATTAAATCTTGATATTTACTGGGATTTATCTAACTTAAGATAAGCAGAATAAAGTTAAATGTGTATGAAATTAGCATAAATTAATATTTTATGTTAAAATTTTCAATTCTAGCTTCATTTCTGGTCATATACATTAGCAGAGTCATGTTAATACATTTATTTAGAATTTCACTAGAGAAAAAATGGTCTATGTTCACACCAACAGAAAATGAAAACATTTTAGTGAAACCTTTGAAATTATCAGACATTAATAATAGCCAATTAAAACACTTTCATTAATTTTTTTGGGTTTTAATTTATTATAGATACTTATTATGCCCCCACCACAGTGTTATCCCTTAATAACATTATATGCCAGAAGGGGCATCATCTGTGTCCCATGGACACATTCTCCTTTTATTTTTAAATATTTCGTTTTCTTATGTTTATTACTCTGGAATATTGTAAGAAATAATGGTGCATTATGGGAATGCCACTGTTTTGAACATTCATTTATTAATTCAAGTGCCATTTACACAATTGCAAGAACTAACGTTAGAATGACAATGTTTAGTTTCTGTATAGGTGTATTGTCTATATCCTGCTTTATGTGATATATATATTATTAATATAATGTTTATATTAAAGGATTTGTGATTCTTTTAAACTTGATTACATGTTTATTTGTATTTACTCAGTTTGCACACTGATACTGTTGTGTTCAGCTATTTGTAGGTCAAAAACAGCATATTGCATAGGGCATAAAGTATGTTACTAAAAATACATTCAAGAAATCACTAATTTTACATTGTTCATGCAATAGTTGTTGATTAATAATATAACAATTTTAGCCTTTGGTTGAGGTCAATACGATGTTAAATCAACCTAGAGAAGCATATTGACCATGGACTTCGTCCTCAGTCAATATGCTTCTCTAAGGTCGATATAACCTTGTATCGACCTCATACAAAGGTTATAATTGTATAATATATATATTGTATGTATATATGTGTATAATACTTATCACCGAATTTATAGGTTAAGTACAAATCATATAAATTGTAAAGTGCTTTTTGTTAGTTTATTTTGTTATAAGTATCTTATAATCAAGATGATTTTGTTGTATAAGGGCTGCAAGTCTACATAATAGTACAAAAATCTTAAAATTTATCATGAATTATAATGAAAGTTTTCATAAAATTAGATTTTTTTTTTGGTAGAATTTTCTCATAAAAAAATCAGGTTATCTGCTGCCTTAGAAGCATTAAATCATGTCACATGCATCAGTTACAGTTTTCATTCATTATGAAAACAGCTTTTTAAACGGCTTACTGTTCTTATGCAAGAGGCTATTTGCTGTTCAGATTACCAATGAACAAAATCCTTTCAGGTGTAATTTATATTGCAAATTCAGAAATTATTGTGTGCATTTATTTTGCAATTTTGGGAGAATGGACAACAATATTAGATTAATTACTATGATTTTAGGAAAGGTGCATTCAGATATATGTTTCATATATCAGAATATGTTTTCTTATTATTGTGATAGTCACACGGTCGCATTTAATAAAAACCTCACAATAATATCTGTATTTACAGATTCATTTCTTTATACTTGTAACTGATGATATGGGCTATTCCATTAAAATGTATGTGGGAAGGTAGGAAGGGACTTTCAAAATATCCCTACAACCAAGGACCATTTTTTAGATAATTTTGCATAATGGTAATAGACGCATACTGAAAAAAGACCCATGACCCACATTCAATAATTAAACTTCCATTCCTACCCTCCCACATACATTTTAATGGAATAGCCCTAATGTAGTCCTTTGTAAATGAAAGGTTGTTGAGAATTAACCCACAATCAGATATATTTTCTGTTTCATTTGAAAATTTGAAAAACCAAGTACCTAATTATCTGCCATACTAGTAAGGATAGATTGATTTCAATCTGAAAACTTTTATTCTGACATTTGAAAATTAAAACATGAAAGTTCAATGGTGTCACTCTTGAAACAAAGAAAGGTCATCTTGACGTATGGAGATGAACAATTGCTTATTGTGTATATTTTTTTTATTGTGTGCCATATCATTGGTATGAAAATTAAAAATACTTTTTATTTTGTTATTATATTATATTGTATTATATTTATGAGACTGTCCTTTGAACAGACAAGAATCAAATTGAAGATATGTACTTAATTCTAATAAAACATTTAAATATTCATATTAACATCATTCCTTAATCAGTAAAATAATTAGTTAAGTAGCAGCTGGTTTTGATAAGATTAGTTTAACTAATTGATCGATCTCAGATTTGATATAAGAATGCAGTGTTCTCCCCAGGATTTTTGGATAGCACCAGGGTAACGCGTGTGAACAGCTTGGTGAAATGATTCATACAATCATTTGTGTCACATGGCGTCGCTATATTTCTAGTTATTGCAGTTTTTATGTCTCTTGATTTGTTTTAATACTGTGGTACTGTGTTATGTCAGAATATTATTGGTTAAAAAGATCAATAAACAGTTTGTATACTTTTAATTTTTTTTTAAAAATAAATAAAACATGATTCATTACATAATATTCATCTAAATTTAAAGTAATTAAATCTTTTATAAAATCCATGATCAATAAAAATAAAATATCATTCAAACAGAAACATATATATTGTTAGATATACTGTTCCCGGATTCAAAAGAGAACAAAAATGTTCAATTTAAAAAACTTTCTAGTTTCTAGAAAGAAAGTTGTTGTATGTGAAAGGATTCCTGTCATAAGGAGATATAATATTAACAAGAACAAAATTGTGTTATAATTTGAACCAGTTTCTATCTTAAATTTTAATAAAAAGAAATTTTTCATAAATTTTAAAGCATTTTGCCATAGATTTCATGTACATGTAAATATTAAACTTTCTTGTCTTTGGTGTTAATCAAACATAGATACAGACTTAATACTGCACTGAAATCTAAATCTTTATTTGTCATGATCCATTTAAAAAGAATTCCTAAATCTATAAATTTATCTTAGGTCTATAGATCTATAAGAAACATATTCAATGTCAACAACAAATTCTCCCTATTTTCCCGCCTAAATGACAGGAAGTAGATATAAATAGATTTAACATGTGCTTATGGATTAAAATTGCAAGATCACTTCTGTTATTCATTAATGATCATATGGATATAGATATCCAGTTTGAAGGTACAGTCATGCATTTTATTTATAAAATAGAATAGATTGCAGTTAATTGTAAATAATCTTGAATATTCTACGTGAACTTACTGGGTCATGTGATCCTTCCCCTTTGAATTACTTGTTTACAGTTTGAAACCGGAATATCATGCAATAACTATGTCATAATTAAAGATAATTTTGGCCATGGTTTAATCAGAGACATATAAAACTATAATATAAGTATTGAGCTAACTTTATAATGTACAAAATATGTACCGTCGTGTGTACAACTATCGGGTCAACACAGTTTGTGTACAAAGTATTTGCTGACTTGTCAGGTGGTGAGTGAAGCCTTAAAATAGTTATCTTTGATCATAAAGTTATGATCTCTAAATTAAAACACAAAAGAATCATGTAAAAAGTGTTAATTACATCGATTAAATCCAATCAACAAAGGTTAACCTCATAAAGGAAATCGATCACGTGGTGTAAACAATCCGTGTTGAACTGGTTTGAACTGGTCAAATTTCACCTGGAATTTTACACCGCACGGAAAAGATTTAACAAGTCGTTTAAAACTTTACCAATTAAAGATTTTTTAACTGAAAATTTTTACATCGTGGTAAGAACGATACCACCGCAGTAAAAAATTATACATCGTGGGCCCTCGGTCCTTTAAGGGCCTGGGGAGAACACTGGAATGCTAATAATATTTTCATGTTTTTTCATTAAGATTTTGTTTGAGCATCTTAAAATTTAATAGCAATTAATATAATTATATTTGTTTGATATTATAATTTTTTTTATGTATGTTTTGTATGTATATCTTTAATGTATTCATTTTTAGCTTTTTTGTAGACTTGTCAGTTTTTTAGTCTTATTTCGTTTTATGCCATGGCATAATATTGTTAGTTTGTTTTTCGACATATGAGTTCGAATACCCTTTTTGGTATCTTCCACTGAACTTTTTTGGCTAACCAATCCTTTTGCATTCATTTCAGCTAACCTGGCCAAAAGGGCTATGAATAAGTATTATTATCACTTTGTGTGTGTTATTGTCTGTTCTTAAATGAGTCATATAGTGAGAAACAAATGTGTAACTTTTAGTCAACAAGAGGTCATCATTAGCAACCTCATCCTCAACCCCTAATGTTTAGTATTTTATTGAGTATTAAAATGAGGAGATGTGGTATGATTGGCTAATGAGACCACTATCCACCTGAGTTAAAATGAGGAGATGTGGTATGATTGGCTAATGAGACCACTATCCACCCGAGTTAAAATGAGGAGATGTGGTATGATTGGCTAATGAGACCACTATCCACCCGAGTTAAAATGAGGAGATGTGGTATGATTGGCTAATGAGACCACTATCCACCCGAGTTAAAATGAGGAGATGTGGTATGATTGGCTAATGAGACCACTATCCACCCGAGTTAAAATGAGGAGATGTGGTATGATTGGCTAATGAGACCACTATCCACCCGAGTTAAAATGATGTGGATGTAACCAATTTAAGTACTAATGATATGAAAATGGGTTAAAATTATGATAGCATCCATGAATCTCAATCCTTCATAGTATATGAGGCCCTATCCCCTCTTTCATACTCCAGTAACTTTGCTGTGTAGAAAATACCAATTTTAAAGTCTACGGTTTGATCTGACCAGGGATGGAAGCCACGACCTCCCACACTCGAAGCAAACAGTTTACCAGTACACCACCAAGACAGTCTGTTACTGTTGATTCAGTGAATTTGAAATTAAAACTTTTAAAAATAAAATTTTCTGATTCAGTGTGTTGATGGTGAAGTATTTAGGATATACCATTGACATATTTTCTACTGTTGCATTTGCATGCATGCACTTCAGAGGGTCTTGGTAGCCGAGTGGTCTAAGTAGTTCACCTACAGTGCTCACTAGCCTGTCAAGGTCTTGGTAGCAGAGTGATCTGAGTAGGTCACCTACAGTGATCACTAGCATGTCAACTTTGGTTTTCAGGTTGAACCTGCATGAGGCAGGTGTGTTTGACTCCGATCTTAACTGTGAAGGAATGCCAGTTTTCCTTGCGAAGGTTAATGTTTTTCTTCTGGTACAAAGCTTCCTCCGCCAATCAAAACTGATCTTCGTTTGATAAAAATGTTTACTTTTTATTTCATATTGCATATTTATATTGTAACTTATTTGATTGGTATTTATTGATATTTTTATGTCTTTGGAGAAATAAATATATTTTGAAACATAACATTTTATTTTACCATATGAATAATGGAAATAATGAGGATACTTTAGAGCTCAAGTCAATAAAACATAATCCTCACAATACACTAATTAAAAAAGGGCCTCAGAAACCAGAAAGGTGGCTGGTATAAAAGATATTTGTAACCCTAAGCAAAAGCAAACTTAAAATATTATCAAACATGTTTCAGATTTTTCACTTATTAAATGTAAAATAAAAATAAGCCATTCTTAGTCGAACCTTAATTTTGTACAAACACGAATGCATGTGTTGTTGTGCTAAGCATATCCCCACCCGAAATTCAAAGTATTAGCAAACAGGCAGTTGGTGTCCTACAGATCTGAAAACTGCACACACATTCAAAGTTAAAACTCATCAACTTATGAAGCAGCTGACCAAATTATGATATGAAGTCATCTGTTCAGTAATTTCTGAGAAAAGTGAGACAAAAAAAATTGTTGGAGAGAAAAGACAGATGGATTGAACAGACAAGATGATTGCAACATAGCCCCTATTCCTATAGTGGGGGTATAAGAATACGTTTAGAAACTTTTGGACAATAAAACAAACATATATTAAATACACTGAGGGAAAAAGAAATGGCCAACAGTTTTGTGTTCAATAAACCAATAACTATAAATAAAAAGAATTGTAAGGAGTCATTGGGGGTATTTTGTTTAAAAATTGGGTCAATAATAACCGCTAACTGATGGAGGGACACCAGATAGAAGACAAATATTCAATGTTGATAGATAGCCGAAGAAATAAAACAAGATCATAAATAATAAATTTTATTTTTATTCTATAAATTTTAAATTATATCAATTCATTAACAAATTTTTTTTTTTTATTTTTTTTTTCGTCAAAAAAAAAAAAAAAATCATAGGAAAAGTTTTTTGAAATTCATACCCAATATCTCCAGAACCCTTGTAAAAGTCCAAAAAGGCATGACATAATATTTAATTTGCACAACCATTGAAAATATTTGTAAAAAAAAGATATCTTAAAGCCAAGCCTGAAATTCTCATGTATTCTATTATGCTCCAAAGCAATGTCTTAATGACAAACAGATATCTGAGTAAGAACCTATCAAAATCATAGTAAAACTAGTGAGCCCAGGAAAAGACATACTATATATATTTTTAATCTGTTCCATCCGTTTAGTTATTTGTTCTCTCTGGGGGAGATTTGTCCCATTGTAAATCATACTGCATCTTCTAATATTTATATCAGACATTTAACCAAATGTTGAATAAATGATACAATTTGGAGTAGTTGGTGCCAATCTGAAACCCAAGATGGCCATCCAATGGAACACAATTAAAACTTGAACCCAAGACACCATACTTAATCATACATTGCAGTTAAGCCGGTGTCATATAGCCATTCTTCCCCAATGCCAGCTTTTCCGGGAGAAAAAACTGGATCAATTTGGAATATATCGTCGGCGACGTCAGTTAGAAATTTTTTCAATTTAAAAGAAAAATAACCTTTTTTATTAGTTTAGCGGTACCAAACCTTCATCGGATTAATATACATTTGATATCAGATGATTTATATATATAAATACACATGAAGCACATTCTGATGTGGTGATCACATCCATTCTCATTCGTAAACCCTTGGTCTCATTTGACTAAACGAATACAATTATTTAAACCACTTCAGGTCAGTAGGTAGATTTCCCCCTGGACAGACGTGTTTTTGATGTCTCGTAATATGTTGAAATGACTTCAGATGAATCATGCAAAGAACCTACTCTATCTCTACCAGATGATGTTACATCGGTACTAGCTGTAGTTGGAAGTACAACCACCGACTGGACTTTATCTAGAAGGAATGGACAGTAAATTCTAACAGTTAGATGGCCGCTATTAGGAAAGGTTACAACTAGAGACGACAAAGACAAAATACTCAACGAAAGCTTTCATTCAGAAGAAGAAGTCCGATACGGATGAAACTTAATCAAACCAAGAGGAGATAGGTACACCCGCTCCAAGCAGCATGACAGACGAGGAAGTACTGTAACTACCGGAAACCACATCAATAGAATACAGAGATCTACTCCCATCAGTTGGAGCTGTACAAGATCTACAAAGAGATCCCGCCTGTCGTAAAGGTGCTGAGGGTCGACCACCACCCAGCACGAGAGGAAAGGAGACGGTTCAGCAACTAAGCCTTGATGTTAATCGATTGGGGCGGTAATGTATCAAAGTTGTGACTTCAAATCCCGTCGAGGGATAAAAATTTGTTAGCATAAAAATCTTATTCTAACACTGTTGGGTTTAATTTTCAGGGGAAACTGGCATGGGGGAAGAATGGTTATATAACACCGGCACATTTCATTATAAAAATACCCACAACAAAAAAGGGAGCAAATATAGTGGTTATACCTCCATAATATTACTATTCGTAACAAGCATATCGCGCAAAATTCAGTTTGAAAGTCCAAAATTACTATGACTCCAACTGAACTAATACTATCCTCACTGATCTGTGTCCATACTTGTTATCAAAGAGAAAAATCATTGGCTATATGATACAGTATGAATATAAAAAAAGAAGATGTGGTACATGTATGATTACCAATGAGACAAATATCCACCATGTCCAAACAAAGTGGATTTAAGTAACTATAGGTCATATTATGGCCTTAAACATAATGAGCAAACCCGTATCGTATAGTCAGCTGTGAAAGGCCCGACATGAAATCAAAGTATTGGTGGACTGTTTACTCGGGTGTACCAACATTCTGATGGCTGGCGAATAAATGGCATTCATAGTTTCATATCCCTGCAGACAGCTAGGATTAACTTGCAGTTGTTTTCTTACGTCCAGTGTCAAATATTTTCTACCAGATTTAGGACAATAACATCTTAATAGTAAAACAATTTGGAAGGTATTGTGGGCACACCGGGAGGGTCGACAGGGATAACTTAAAAAAGAGAACGATGCAGTGCACTTTCTGGATAATAAATTCATGAAATGTTCGGTGAGACTTGCGGGACTTAAACCTTTTTACCTGTTTGTTTATGTTTCATTTATGTGGCCAGTATAAATAGTCATTGATTGTGTTATATATATATATATATGTTAATTGTCGAAATCCGGATATGGTGTACAAATTTTTGCACCCATGTTTGCGGTATACCGTCTTTTCCGAAAGTTTATTGTTTTCTGTTTCATTTGTAATAAATTATTATAAGATCCATTTTGTTACATCTGGTGATCCGTTTATTTGGCAATCGCCAATGGCAGTCAGCAGGGTTTATGAACATTTGTTGTTCGACCTGTTAGTCAAATGCGTTTTGTTAAAATATACTTTTTCACTTTTTTGGTCTTTTGGAAAATGTTGTTTGTACTGTATTTAGACCCCTCTAACAAGAAATTTGTTTTGCATGCACACGTATAAAAATTGCGGTTTTTATCCAACGCAATCATAGGTTTGAACGTTGTTTTCAATTTAGACTTGTATACTAGTATATATATCTATACTATTAAATGAGAAGACCTCATTTTGTGTGTCGCTTCTCTTCCTTCCACAATAAATTAATCATCATGCCTCTGTGTCCTATAGGTACCATGCATAGTCGCATTTGTCATCCTCGCTTATGATTATTCAGTTTGGGTTATTTTGGGAGGAAAACGAAAATAAAGGCGTCCGGATATTATTTACGTCATCGGACGGACTTTTAAGTCATAGACAAGACTTCCGTTTAGGACTGTTTTAAAATTACACATAATTTTCACAAGTACTTGGGGACAGGACAATTATTTTCGCGTTTTTAGCTCACCTGGCCCGAAGGTCCAAGTGAGCTTTTCTCATCACTTTGCGTCCGTCGTCCGTCGTCGTCGTCGTCGTCGTCGTCGTCCGGCGTCGTCTGTTAACTTTCACAAAAATCTTCTCCTCTGAAACTACTGGGTCAAATTTAACCAAACTTGGTCACAATCATCATTGGGGTATCTAGTTTAAAAAATGTGTCCGGTGATCCTTTCAACCAACCAAGATGGCCGCCATGGCTAAAAATGGAACATAGGGGTTAAATGTAGATTTTGGCTTATATCTCTGAAACCAAAGCATTTTTAGCAAATCTGACATGGTGTAAAATTGTTTATCAGGTCAAGATCTATCTGCCCTGAAATTTTCAGATGAATCTGACAACCCGTTGTTGGGTTGCTGCCCCATAATTGGTAATTTTAAGGAAATTTTGCCGTTTTTGGTTATTATCTTGAATATTATTATAGATAGAGATAAACTGTAAACAGCAATAATGTACAGCAAAGTAAGATCTACAAATAAGTCAACATGACCAAAATTGTCAATTGACCCCTTAAGGAGTTATTGCCCTTTATAGTCAATTTTTTACAATTTTTTCATAAATTTTGTAAATTTTTACAAAATATTTTCCACTGTAACTACTGGGCCAAGTTCATTATAGATAGAGATAATTGTAAGCAGCAAGAATGTTCAGTAAAGTAAGATCTACAAACACATCACCATCACCAAAACACAATTTTGTCATGAATCCATCTTTGTCCTTTGTTTAATATGCACATATACCAAGGTGAGCGACACACTTCAGGCTCTTTAGAGCCTCTAGTTTCTGTATACTATGATCATACATATACTATAGATAAAGTGTATTTGCTATTTACTATCAATTCCAAGTTTACTATCCACGGCGGTCACTGATATTATTATATAGACTATATTAGTGACCGCCGTGGATAACGGTGAACTTGGAATTAATAGTAAATAGCAAATACACGGTATTTATAGTATGTGGATGTTCATAGTATACAGAAAAACGCGAAAATAATTGAAATTTACAGAAAACAAAAAATAACGGACTTTAGAAAAAGGGGGAGGGCTAAAAAAAATACTATAGTGCCCACAAGTACATATGACTTTTGATACCTTTCCTGAAATTCTCCAGTCATAAAATCTTTTACAAAAATTCATCCTACAACAGTTTACATACTTTCAACCACGCTCTAAATGCCCG